CAATTAAATTTGTTAGTCACACCCTGTAGGCTGGTAGAAGATCTAATAACAAAACATTATGTTTAGCTATATGCCTTCATCCACAGATAGTGTGAAAGGTCCAGTCACTTAAAAGATTTTCAAGATTCTTTGTACCAGTGGCCTTTGGGGATGCCAGATTGCTGTCCGTTTTCTTTATCTCATGTACATGCCTTGTTTTTTTCACTTTGCCTGTTCTCACTCTTCTCTTGGGGGTATTTTATTTTTGTAAGACCTCCCACTGCCTATTCTTTCTACGGTTCATTGTTTCCAGGAGGAGAAACAGCAGCCTAGAATAATTATATTTTCATACTTCTCACGACATTATGGATTAGATTATGCAAAAGAAGCAATGAAACTGACTTCAGTTGTATTGATATGAGTGTATTTCAGCATAAAATAGCTTTGAACAGGGAGGGTCATCTTTCCTGTGAACTCACTTTTGCACTGATTCATTCAGAAGGTGCTTGTGCTTACTCTACAAACTAGTAATGGCATTATTTCACATCATAAAATCATGTATTCTATATAAATTGCAAGTACAGAAATACTAGACTTAAAAAAAATCTAACTGTTACAAAGTTCTGCCTAATACAGGAATACTTTCCATACATTTGGAAAAGAAATTTAGAAATATATGCTCAGGTTAACTAAACATTACATTGTACAATTCTTTAACTTGGTCCTTAAGAACCTGATGAAGACAAAGAAGGTGGTGACATGTTTTAAAGGAACAGGTGATTTGGGAGTACCCTCAAACTAGCTTAGATCCAGAAGGAGAAATGGCAGCATCACCTAATTTCTCTGGCTGGGTCTGGGCCAGCCAGATGCTGCACCAAAATTACTAATATGTCATTGTATTTCCTTCCAGGTGTACCTTATTTCTTTCCTTCTTTATCACTACTGCTTATATTTTGTCCTCTTTGCATAAGGGTAGGGGCAAATGAAGTTTGAAGGTACCGTAGCATGATTTCTCTGTCATTCTTGCAGAAGAAAGACACTAGCTTCTAGAAATGCACAATTCAAAGTCTAAGATAAGTGAATGGCTGTTGTTGTTGTTGTCAGGCATCATTAGTGTCTTTATAGAATTTTTCATGGCATTACCTGCCTTGAAAAGCAAATCTGAATTTCTTTTTCACAGCACTTTAGAAAGTGTCCTTTGGGTTAAGCTAGTCCACCTCCACCACGGTACAAAAGGAGCTGCTACTTACAATTAAAAACTGTATGTATTTTTTGTAGATCAAGGGTTTCTTCTCCCCTTTCTTCACAATACTGGCTTTATGAGGAAGTGTCAAAGTCACTACCAAGTGCCTGGGTCAGTGCCTCAAGCATGTGTTTGGAACATGCTGGCCTTGTGCATCATGTTCCCCTTCTGGCACAGTTTATACCAATTAAAAGAGCAGACTAAAATCAAAGTGCTTCTTTTCATAAGAAAACTCCTTTGCCACTGTTATTTGCTGGTGAATTTGCTGTAAGGCTTCTTTAGCTAAAATGCCTCCTTTAGTAATTTCTGATTGTGCAGTTTCAATGGAGGTTTTGAAGTGTTCTGATTATAAGAGTGATGCATATGCAGTGATTAACAGTTATTATCAAGGGAATAGCACCAAAAATAGAGTTCTGCATGAAGACAACTATTGGAGAGCTTCCCCTTCAGTACAGAAGGAAAAATTAGGTAAGCATTTATGCTAAGGATGAAGGTCTGGTTCCAATTTTTACAACCTATTACAGAGTCTGTTTGAGTCTACTTTTACTATTGCATTTGTATCTAGATATCATAGACAAATTTCTGGTGAAAATCAGGTTAATGAGTTAGGAATATTTAGGAAAGGAAAAGATATTCCTGAATTTCAAATTCAAAAGACACATTAAAAATATTTTTTCTTTTTAAACTTCTCCTTTTATTTTGTACATAAACCAATCCGTACATTTCAATATATGGTAAGGATTTAATGAGCAGGTTTTTTTCATATTTTTGAGCTACGCCTTCTGCTTCCTTCTGAAATCTCTGGGCCTGTTTGCACTTACTGACAGGCCAAGTCGGCTGAGGCACCTGATGATATGGCAATGTTTGTCAGTCCCCCTTAGATTAATCAAATTCTTTTTTTAGTCATTCAAGTTAGTGGAAAAGGTTTCTGGGGTTTCATCTGTAAGCCTTTGAATTTAGTCAGTGGGGTGTTCCATCTGAATGTTTCAAAGCACTAAAAATTACTAGGACAGTGCTCTTCTGATTATTTATATATATAGAGGAACAAATCCCAGGTGATCAGCATTTCCAATCTAAAATGATAGCTAGCTAGAGTAGCTTGGCTTTGCCTAGGTCCTGGTCTTGTATTCCTCAGTATGCATGTTTTACCAACCCTATATTTAAGAGTCATGTGTATTTTAAGTGCTACCACAAATATATTGAGCTGTTATGAGTTACATTTTTTAAATCCAGCCATGGAGAATCATGAAATGCTTCAGCTTGAGATGGAGCTGTGGAGGCCACTTAGTCCAAATTCCCCTTAAAGCAGGTGTAGTTATAGTAAACTGCTTGAGGCCGTGCATGGTTGAGTTTTGAATATTTCCAAGGACAGAGGATTCATAGCTACTCTGGGTTGACCACCACCATGGTAAAAAAAGAGTTTTCCCTCCATCTAATTAAAAGTTACACCATTTATTCTTGCCTGAAAAAAAAGCCTGGCTTAATCTTCCCTACATCCTCACATTAGATAATCACAGACAACTGCACAATCTCAGAATAACAGAATTGTTTCTATTGGAAAACATTTCATGAGACCAACTCTCTTGCTCACAGCTAGAACTTGTTACTGAAAACCATACCCAGTTGCTCATTGAATGTCTTAACCTTTCTGGGCAATGTGTTTGACCAGCCTCACAGTAGAACACTGTTTTCTTGTGTTCAGATGGAATTCCATGGTTTTCAATTTGTGCACATTGCCTCTTGTCTCTGAGCAGCACTGAAAAGTGCCTGGCATTGCACTCTTCATTCCAACCCCTCAGGTATTTATACATGGGGGTAAGGCACCCCCAAGCCTCTCTTCTCTAGGCTGAGCAGTCTCAGCTCTCTCAGGCTTTCCTCATTTGGAAGATGTTCCAGTCTCCTAGTCATCTTTGTAGTGCTTCACTGTCCAGTAAGTCCATCTTGTTTTTGTATTGGGGAGCTCATAGCTGGACACAGTGCTCCATGTGTGGCTTTAGAGATGAGTAGAGCCAAAAGACCACCTCCCTTCACATTGCTTTTAGTTCCCTTCCTAATGTGGCCTGGGAGGCTGTTGGCTGCCTTTGCCATCAGCTTGCATCACTATATCATGGTCAGCTTGTTCACCAAAGTCCTCAAATCCTTTTCTGCAGGGCTGTTCTTCAGTCAGCCAGGCCACAGCATGTAACAGTGCTATGTGTTTTTCCTCCCCAGACACAGACATCTGCATTCATCCTGTTGCTCTTAAAGAGATTTCTCTCCAACATCCTTTTTCTGTTGGACCAACACCCTCTGAATCTTACCTTATCTCTGATCTACAATCACCTTATAGATCAGCTAGTCCTTCTAGTTGTGTACTGTGTACTTGCTGAAAGATGTACTCATGGTTATTGGTGAAGATGTTTAACAGTGCTGATCCCAAAACTTGGATACACCACTAATGTCTTGTCTCTAAACCAGGGATTGCAACACTCTGGGCCTGGCAGGTAGGCTGTTTTAATCCACCTCTTTGTATGCTTCTTTAACCTGTATTTTGCCAGCTGTTCTGAGTCTGTTAGGGGAGCCAGTGTCACAAGTCTTACTGAAATTGATGTAAACAACTTCCACTGTTCTCCCATTATCCACCAAAACAGTTACATCATCCACATTGTGGGAAGTTATCTGGTTAGTCAAGCATGGCCTCCTCTTCATAAATCCGTGTTGACTACCATGTTGTGCTTCACCTGTTTGGAAAAATGGCTTCTAGGATTAGTTGTTCCTTTATCTGCCCAGAGATTGTGTTGAAGCTGCTCTGCCTGTAGTACCCTTGATGTTTCATGTTGCCACTTTTGAAAATAGAGGTAACATTTTCTTTCCTCCACTCTTCAGGAATCTTTCCCAGTTGCCATGACATATCGAGGTAATAAAGAGTGGACTTGCAGTGGCATCATGCAGCTTCCCCAGCACTTGTGGGTCCAACTTCTTATGCTTCATGAACTTATATATGTACAGTTTGTTTAAGCTGTCTTTAATCTATTTTTCCTTTTGTGGAGGGCCAGGCATGTTCCAAACTTTCCTCTGTTTTCTAGGGCTTGCGATTCCTCAAGGACAGTTTTACTGGAAAACATGGAGGCAAAGAAGGTATTGAATATCTCAGACTTTTCCATGTTCTTTGTTATCAGCACCTCTCCCCCATCCAGGAAGAGTTTACATTTTCCCTAGCTGTCCTTTTATTCCTTTTGCTATTTGCTACAACTGCACATAGAACTCTCTTTTGTTGCCCTTCATGTGCAGAAATGTTGCTAGATTCATCTCCATGCTGGCCCTGGCTTTCCTGGTGCTATCACAACAGCTCTGTATCCCTCCTGCACAATCTGTCCCAGCTTTCACTGCGGTGTGTGTTTCCTTTTGAGTTCAGTTAGGAACAACACTGTCATTCCAGTCTCCAGCTGCCTTTCATTTCCTACTTGTTGTGATGGAGCTTGTTGATCTTGTAGGAGGTGATTCTTAAAAATCAACCAAATCTCCCCTCCCTCCCCTTCCCAGAACTTCCCTTCCCAGAACTTCTCTTCCCTTCCCTCCAAATCCAGAGCTGAAGAGGCTTCCCTGCCTCTTGCACACTTCTCTACCATTTGAAGGAGATCAAAAAAAAGGAGGGAATTTGGTAAAAACAACAAAACCAACCAAATAAAACCCCAACCCACAATCAAAATAACCTCAAAAACAAATAAACAAAAACCAAAACAGAAAACCTCTCCAAAACAGCAGCAACAAATAACCCTAAAACAACAACAAAAACAACAAAACAAACAACAAAACAACTCAGAAGAGAAACAAACCCCTCCAGATCCTCAAAACTTGAGCAAAACCCAGCTGCCTGCATTCACCCAGTTACTTGCATCAGTGTGCTGACACTCTCAGCACACTGATGGAGAGATGCATACAGGTAATATCTGTCACTCACAAAAGCTTTTTTGAGTTGAAATTTGCAATGTTTATATATGAACTTTACATGATGTGCCACTCGTGCTCTTGCCTGTGTTATTTCAATAAATTGAAGCAAACCAGTTTGATAAACTTTTATTGATGCCAAAGCTTTATCAGCACTGTGCCTGAGGCACAGGCCTTTCTGATCCTCCAGCTCAGGGGTTCATCTGCATCCCCAAAACTGGTCATGATCCTCATGGTAAGAGGATTTCCAAACCCTGCAAAGCTGTAACTGTGAGGATGGGGCTATTTCACCCCAAATATTGGCAGCAAGTGTCTTGTGGGGTGGGCATTTTGGGGTGCGTGTTTGTCAGATGGAGGCATCGCTTTTCTTTCCATCTCTGCTGTCACAGAGCAGAGAAGGAAAGGCTTTTTTTTGCAAACCCACTTGTGTTCAGCATCACATCTTTTAACCTCAAAGTCTTTGGCTCTCAGTGTCCCACACCCTTCATCCATCTCGAGCATAGAGGTGCCAAGCCTGTAAAACAAAAATTGTGTTGCTGAAGAGGAGGAAACTCTCCAAATCTTGCAGAAAAGTAGATGTGGGGTGGGGTTGTTCTGCCCTTTTCCTGCACTGTCTCACTGTGCATGCATCATTTCTTGGTGGAGGATGACCAGATTCGAGGAGAGTTGCTGTACCTGCAGTAAGATCTACGAGGAGCACGTGTGGAGCATGAAAAGCTCCACACATTGTTGCATGGGTCTGGTGGGAGCTGTGGGGTTACTGTGCTCCGGTACAGTTCCACAACCTTTGTTCTACAGAACTTTGCTGGGGGGAATATGAGACTCTTGCATAAACTCCGACATCTTGGAGAGATGGGTCAGAGCATGAATTGGGTCTGGAATGGAGCAAAGCTGCTGTTTACACCAACAGACTGTGGATACACTCACATTTTGGGGTTGAAAGGTGTGTTGTCTACCCATCTCCACACCTTCTGATGTGACCTTAATCCAATCCACACTGGTGGTGGGCTCTTGCCTGTAACAGTCTTGATGTACTCCTGGAAAATAGAAGTGACCAGTTGCTCCCAAAATCTCTCTCTGGAGGGTTTCATGGCAATCAAATTAACAGAGTAAATGTGACTCCCAAATTCATGAGACATGAATTTCCCCCCTAATTTGAATGCTTCTCCAAGCCCTCCTGTTGATAGGCACTTTTTTCTTCCCTGCCCACCTAAAAATCAGGACTTTTGTGTCCTTGTTAAGCCTTCTTCTCCCTATTTACCTTTTCTTTCTTGTCCTGGAGCACCACCAACTGGGAGTCCTGGTTCTCACAGTTTTTCATGCCTTGAGTCCAGTTTCCCAGTTCCTCAGAAAGCCAGTAGCATCTTTCCCTGTGAAGCTGCCAGTCCTGGGGACACAGCTTACAGCCAGCATAGGCTGAAGGGGAGAAAAAGCCATGAGACACTCCGAAGGGCTCTCAGGATATTCCCAAGCCACCAGCTGAAGGTACTGAAGGTACCCCATCCCACACCCCAGCTCTTTCCCCATTGCTGGGTTTTCCACATCGATGTGGTTTTACCAGCCACTGGAGAGAAGGAAGGTTACTGAGGCTGGGTGACCACAAGGACATTATTGGCCAGTGGAGATGGAGGAAGAGTGGCAAGGAATCTTCTCCCTAGGGCTGATCCTGCTCCTCCATGGAGGACGGATCAGCAAAATTGCATGGAAAAGAGGATTCTTCCTTGCAAGACTCCTCTTTGCCAAATAACTCTTGTGGTCTCACAACCCCAAGGGTCTCTCTTCTTGCAGTAGAAGATCCCCACAAAGGTCTCACCTGAACATCTCCCAGCAGAGTCCGATTGAAAGGGGGATTACCTGTGGGGTTGTCCCCTTGGGGCTTGCAGAAATACCGCACCAGGGATGAAAACATGCACTGCTCCACTTGGTTCCTTCCCTGGATCCCACTGCCTGGCTGCGGAGCGCTTGTCACCACTGGCTGTGGGGACCCCTGAAAAACTTGGAGCAGTATTCCGGGGTGAGAAGCTGCAGCCATTTGGGGATAAAAACCACAAACCCCACAAAACTGGGTTTCATTTTCTTATACAGTTGTTTAAGCCAGCCTGAAAAACATGGCTTGTATTCTTCACCCTTGTTTGACAGCTATGGGTATAATCCAGGTTTACTCAGAATAGGCTTATTCTTGATGGGTGATGTCGCATCTCTACAGGACAACCTTGTCCCCTCCAAAGCCTGAAATGCTGAAATAAACCCCAATTTCCCCTCCCTGGCTGCTCCCTGGAGTGTGAGGTGTAGATAAGAGCTGGTTACTCACCCCGCACACTCAGCACCACCACCAGGACCAGCAGGATGAGTTGCCCCAGCCCCCCGGCTATGAGAAGGAGCCTGTGCCACCTTGGACAGAAGGCAGGTGCTGAAAGAGGCCACATTTGCGTTAAAAATGAAAGATGAAAATACTGGGGGTTTAGAGGAAAAAAAAAAATCCCCTCTGTCAAGCTGGTGAGTTTGAGCAGAAGTTTACAGCTTCTTTGATTCCTCCAAAGAAGTAAATCACCACTGATGTGGTCTAGGGTGGGGGTGGCTTCTCAGGTGGAGGAGGGGCTGCAGCAGCCTCAGGAGCATCCTTGGGTGCCCAATGATGGATCTTGGGGGATGGGAAACCATTCTGAAATTGGCTTAATTTAAAGCTCCTGCTAGAGCTGGGAGTTGGTGAGACAAAGGTCACTCCAGCTCTCATCTCCACCAGGATTCCAGACAGGATCTCAGCAGCTTTCCTTCCCATCCAGGTGTGTTAGGTCATGTTAGGTTTCTTGGCACCCATTTTGCCCCCCAGGTGAAGAGTCTCAGAAGCAAAATGGCTTCCAGATATCTGTCACCCTCTCCTATCCCTTCCTTTCTCTTATTTCTCCTCTTTTCAAGCCAGGATGCTACCTCAGAAGACATTGAACCCACAACAATGTTCTCCATGATCTTGGAAACCTTAACATGGAGATGAAGCAAGCAAGCAAACCTAAAAGTAAACAAATCCATAAAACTTCCCAAAATTTGAAACAAGCATTTTCTCCGCAAAATAGCACTTACCATGATGCTTCTCAGCAGAACTGTTCCCAGGATGCCATAAATCAGCATAAACAATTTCCCCAGCCATGGTTGCTCAGAAGGTCCCAGAAGCAGCCCAGAAGTGACACTGTCCTTGGACAACCCCTTGCCTTGTGAACTACGCACTCACAGCTGCATCTGCTCCAGGAAATGGTATTGGCTGGGGCTTTTATCTGCTTTTCAGTTTGTACATATGTACATATATATATCTGTGTGTGTGTGTGTGTGTGTGTGTGTGTGTATTCTACACCCTTCCCTTGTAAATGGAAGTTGGTGAAGAGGGAATGGGTGTCCTGCAGCCAGGAAGAGGCGGCACACCTGGAGCTGTAGAAACATCTGTTGGTTTTGTGGTTGTGTTAAACATTATGAAAGCAGAATTAATAAATAATAATTTCAAAAAGCCTTTAAATAAGGTTTTTCCACTGTGAGGAGGTATATCAGTGTGACCACAGGCAGGTGGGGAAGAGACAGGTGACATTTGGTGTTTCTTCCCCAGAATATGGGCTGGGAGTGACTTGAAATGCCTTTTGCTCCATGTGACTTATTCTGCTGGTTTTGACATAATATTTGGTCTCTGTTTTATCCTGGGGCAAAGAGATCCAATGTGGTCAAGGGTTGCCCAGCTCCTGCCCAGGATGAGGTAAGAATCTGGATTTCTATCTGGCTGCCTGCTGCTAATGAATTTTATTTTGTTACTTTATTTTATTTTGACTTTTTCATCTGCAAGCCCATCCTCCCACTCCTGATGTATCCTTTTACACCATCTAGACCTATGTTTCCTCCAGGTTTGGGAGTCTTTGACTACTGCATGGAACAACCAACAATTTCCAGCCTACAGTAACCTTTTCCCCTCCCTTAGGGTTTTTGGTGTTAAGCCCAGGTTCTAGTCAGTGCCACAGTTTCACAAAGCAACACCTTTTTTACAGAGACAAAAATGATGTTTTTTCCTCAGACACCCCAAAAGAAAAACCAAGCAAAATGCAGAAATTTGCCCCAATAATTACCACCACACAGAAATAGGGTAAATAAGAAGATAAACCCAAAGGCCCCAATAAGAAAAGCACTGTGTTATTTTATTTTGAAATGATTTTAACATTTTTAGTTAAAGTAAAATAAATACTTTTATTTTAAATTTGTGTTTATGTAATTTTTATTTTTGTTTTTAATTGTCTCATGATTGTTTTTAGTTTCTTTTCCCCCCTCAGCCTTTTCTTTGTCACAGAAAGTTTTTGTGGTGAGCTGCTATCAGCCAGCCTTCCTGCCCTCTGCAAAGGCAGCTGCTCCAGTGGTGTGTGACCAGTAATTAAAAAAAAACCCTAAAAAACACAAAATAAATTAGGTTTTAGGGTAAAACTTGCAGCTGGGTAGCTTAATTGCAAGAACACTTTTTTTTTTTTTTTTTTTTTTTTACAGTAAAAATCCTTATAAAATGTGCTGAAGGGAACTGTACTTCTCCCTTGTAGAATCCCTGAACGCTGTTCTGGGGTGCCTGACATCCTGGAACAGAGTGATCTCCAGCAGTGTTTCCTCCAACTGCACACTAAAAAAAGCATTTTTGGACTGTCCATCTCCCTAGCTGAGAGAAAATTCCGGAAATGCTGGGAAAGAGGGTGAAGTGTTGCTGGGTGGAGCTGGAGGGGAACCCCTGGTTCTGCAGGCGGGCAGGTGGCAGGAAGCCCCTTCTTCATTGCCCTCGAGGAAAATCCCTAAGAATACAATAAAATAACCCAAAACAACATTCTTTTTAAAATATTTTGTTTCTCTTCACAGGAGCAGGTTGTGCTGCAGCACTGGGCTTGTTCCCACAGAGCAGACACAGGTAACAGGGTTTGGGATGGCCTGGGGGCTGAGGGGAGGTGGTCTTAAATTTTGACTGGAAGAGAGAATTTCAATTGCATGAGAAAATTTTAATTGAGGAGATTTTAAATAGGGGAAGATTATTTTAAATGGGGGGAGAAAACTTTAATTTAGTAGAGAGAACCTTAATTTTGGAGAGAAAATATTAACTGAAAACAAGATATTAATTGAGGGGAGAAGGTATTAATTGGGGGAAAATCTTGATTGGGGAGAAAAGTTTACAGGGAGGAAAATTTAATTACAGCACAAAATTTTAACTGCAGGGAGAAAATGTTACCTGAGGAAACTTTAATTTTAATTTTTAAGATTTTAATAGGTGGGGAAAACTAATTTGGGATGAAAGTGTAATTGCAGGGAGAAAACTTGACATAGAGGGAGAAAATTTTAACTGAGGGGAGAAAAGTATAACTAACCAGATAAAACTAACTGGGGGGAGAGGAAATTTTAATTGCAGGGACAAGATTTTAATTGTGCAGGAAAACTTCAGGGGGGGAGAAAAGTTTAAATATGGTACAGGGAGAAAATTTTAAATTGTGAGAAAATTTGAATTGAGCATGGAGAGCCTTTGTGACACCTCTGATAGATGAAACTTTGCTTGGCAGGTGAGGCAAGAGCACCTGTAGAGGTGGAACCCCAAAAATGGAGGAAATAAGAGTTTATTCCGGATTTTTGGGCATGGAAAGGAACAAGCGAGCAGGTAACTGTAGGGCAGTGAACTGTAGAATCACTGGGTTTGGGTTTTATTTTGATACTTCTGTAATTTGAGAATCAAACCCAGCTGAAGTAAGGTTGTAGGGGGGAAAATCTTTTTCTGGCACTTCCCTTGAGGGAAAATTTTTGCACTCAGCAGAAAGAATTTTTGCTCTAAACAGACCAATTTCAGACAAGATGGGTTATTCAAATTTAGCATTAAACTTTCCTGAGGCTCTTGAGTAACTGATTCTTTCAGGCATATTTTTTTACCCACAAATATCCCATTTTTTGGTTGATTTTTCATTTGTTGATTTTAAATTTTTTAATATAACTTTTTTTTTTTTTAATATTTGGCTTCTGACTTACTTTCTAATATTTTTTCCAGGAAGAAGAGGTGAGAGGAGGGTATTTCCCATGGCATTTGGTTCATATGATGGAAACAAAAAGGGAAAATCTTAAACAAAAAATGGGGAAGTTCTACTGGATGAAAACACAGATTTTTGTAAGATTTTTGTATAAAACCCCTAGGAAAGAGAACTTTCTTTGCTCATGGTGAAGGGAAAGTGCATATTCTGCATCACAAGACACAGAAATGGAGGCACCATGACCCAAAGTGTGTTAGTTTAGGTGGAGAAAAAAACTCCACTGAATTTTAATAATGAGGTAAATCCCAGAAATTAAATCAGATTTTTAATTGTGGCACATTTCATGAGTTTGCATCTGGAGCTGGGGAGGAAACTGTTCCCCAAAGAGCTCCCATAAATAAAAAAAATAGCTACTTTTGTTCCAGGTGAAGAAGAATATTTGGTTGTTTCTCACACAAAATGACCCCAAGTCCAGTGCCATTGGCACAAGACCAACCCTCGATGCTGCTGGCATGGCCTGTGGCGTGCTGCTGCCCTGGGAGCCCCTGCAGAGGCACTGAAGGTCTGTTCTCCTGCAGGTCACGGCATGGAGATGAAGCCAGAGGCACGTGTCGCCTGCCAGGTGATGCTGGCCGTGCTTTTCACAGCTCTGCTCATCACAGCCATGGCTTTTGCAGGTGAATGTCGAAGTTTTAGTCTCACAGGTAATGTCTCTGAGATATTTTGGCTTGTTGAATTCGTGACAGATTTATTTCCATGTTCCTGCGGAAGACAAAGCCCACCCAAGCTGCTGTTCTCTCTGAGAGAGAGAAGGACATTTCAGAGCAGTCTTTCTACAGAAGAACAAACCCATCTCCATGGTGTGGGAACTGACGTCATCAAGAAACCCTTAGAAAATCAACAGGAGGAGCCATTTCAGGAGTACAGTCACACAGAAGTATTCTTTTCAGAGAAGAAGGGGCCTGGAGATGTTGGCATGAGTCCCACCAAGTCAAGAAGTGTGCAGGGATAAGAGGACATTTGTCCTGTCATTTTCACTACTTTTGCGTTAATGATAGAGAGCAACATCCAAAGGCATTTTTAGGGATAGGGCTACTCTGAAAATCCTCTTTAAAATGTGTTTTTTTGAAGTCTACCACCCTATTTCCTTCTCTGAAGGTGCAGCACCTCTATTTCTTATCCAACAGCACAAGCTGGGCCATGATGAGCTTATTTTCTCACAGGATCTCTCCTGGTATCTTAATTTTTCTCTTCTCCTACAGTTGAGACAGGTGAAGACTTTTGGAAGCCATGGGGGGTGGAGGATGATCTCTCCACCCCAGAGAGGCAAGGGGAAGGTGGTGCTCGTTAACGTTGCTCTATTCTTAATGACAGTGCAAGCTTTTCAGCCTCATGCCCAGCCCTGCTTTCAGTGCCCCTTTGACTGGATCAGGTACCGAGGAAAATGCTACTATTTTTCTGAGGTTGAAGGGAACTGGACATACAGCCAGGACAACTGCTCAGCACTCGGTGCTTCCTTGGCTATGCTGGACAGCATGGAGGACTTGGTAAGGAGACATGAGAACTTGCTTGGCATGGGGGGAAAAATCCAAAAGCATTGTATTTGAAACCTTTTGGTTTCTGTGACTGCTCTTCCAGGGTCTTTTTTGAAGATCTGGGGTGAGAATTTGGGGCAAATTTGAGAATATGTCATCAAATTCCTCACCAAAGCCAACTGCTGCAAGGATTGTAGGGATAAACTCCTGTTTCTAGATGACACTTTCTGGTAGCAGATTGAAATGTTCAAGCCCCAAAGAAGCCCTAAAGCAGCATAAGCAACTGGTAAAATGGAGTGCTTTGGTTGGAAGAAGGTAAAAATCTTTCCTGCTCTTTCAGAGCTTTGTGATGAGGTACAAAGGCATCTCAGAGCATTGGATTGGCCTTTTGCGGGAGGATGAGGAGCAGCCATGGAGGTGGGTGAATCACTCACCTCTATCTCACCTGTGAGTCCATGTTTTTCATTCTTAAGGTGTTGGTTGGTGTTTCCTCTGCCACAAAATGTGCATTTCTTCTTGAACTTGAGGTAGCAATGGGACAATATTTGGGAAGGGCAACATTGCATCTGGAACTGGTCTTTGTTTTCCCCTTTGACCTAAAAGATGGGAGTGATGCATTTGGTGAGAAAATCCTAAGTTTGGATTTTTTATATTAAGTTTGTTTCTCTCTTGCAAAACTTTGGGTTTCATATTAGAAATAGATCACTGTGAGTATTTTGGCATGCTGGTGCCCATAAGGATGCCTGAGAACTGAAGCTGAGGGAAGCCTATGTGTTACTTTTCTCCTTTTTCCTGCTGGTCCATCTGAAATGGGTTATGTCCTCTGTACTTCCAGGTTTCGGATCCGTGGTAGTGGGCTCTGTGCTTACCTGGATGACAATGGGCTCAGCTCCTCCCACTGCAGCACTGAGAGGAGCTGGATTTGTAATAAACATGAGCTGCAGAGTTCAGGCAAGGGCAACAGGATGAGACGGCCTCCAAACCTCTGTGTCAGCTCCTTGGGTGCTGCAGGGAGGCCTTCTCACTCCCAGATATCTGGTGCACCACAGGGACATGAAAGAAAATCTCAAGAAGACTTTGAAATCCATGGGCAAGGAGTTATTGGAGTTTCCAGAGGCCAACAAAGTGTTTCTGGGACAAGGCAGACTTTGGGGATCCACATGAGATAGTTCTGAGGGAGTGGGGTGGGGTGGCAGGGCAGCTCTGGGGGCTCTTTTTGGGTTTGGGGCAACTTGGTGATGGCCTGAATTGCCAGATGGCCAGATGCCTTCTACTTCTTAGAGAAAAAGAAATTTATTCTATCTGGAGCATATTTACATGCTAAGTACTTGGAAATATGTCTCAAGCATAGGGAACAGCAGAGGAAAAGAGTGGGGGCAGTGGATGTGAGCACATCCTTGTGATAACAAGGGGATTTAAACGATATAAAACAATATTAAATTACAAGTTTTAATATGAGGAATAGCTGCTGGTATTAATACAAAGTCTGCAAAAATCAAGAATTTTAATTTGTGCTGGAAGCCCAGCCAATCACAGACACTGAGGTCAGCAAAAGGAACCTTCCAGAGGAAGTGTATTTGGGAGAAAAAAATGAAAATTTTATCTCAAAACAAGCTCAGGGAAGTCCAGCTCCTGTTAACAAGCTTTGCATGAATTTAGCAACTTGAGATGAGCCGTGCTGAGCTCAGACCCAATACCTCCATGGCACAACCTAAAACAGAGACATCTAAGATGAAGGAATGACCATGAACTGAGTTAGAAATGACTCCAAGACTTGGAAAATTAGAGTTGAGGAGCATCAACCAGCATTTCCAACCACTGTGATGCAACCAGCTTTTGGGAGGATCCTTTCAGGGCATCAGCCCTTGGGGGACAGTTTAATGGTTGAGAGGAGCACGCAAAAGTAGGGGAAGACCCTCTCCCCACTGAAGGAGGCAGGAAAAGTGAAGATGCGTTGGCGGCTGCTGACAGCGTAGAAGGAGACCTGTCCCACCTCATAATCCAGGTAGACCCCAATCTCCCCATTGAGGAGTGGAACAGAGGTGTGGGAGGGAGCTGTGAGGGCAACGCAGAGCTCATCATACTTCTGCAAGCCCCAGATTTCAGTGTTGGGCTTGAAGAGGACCCGGCCTTTCCTCTGAACTGACTCACGGGCCACTCCCACGGCCCAGAAGCGCCCATTGGCCTCCACCTCCCAGTAGTGGCGGCCCGAGGTGAAGCCCTTGCTGCCCAGCATGCACGGGTCCGTGTCGAACCGGCCTGGACCCTCAGGCCACTGGCATCGAGGTCTGCCCCAGGTGGCTTCCTTGAGGTCCTCAGAGAGGACCACCTCTGGGCCCACTGTGGCTGGATCCAGGGTTACGTCCACTGAAAAGCAAAACAGAGAATGGATCAGAAGCCAAATTTAAGCCTAGAGAAAATACACTCCCAAAATGCCTTCACTGGTGACTTTTCAAAGAGAAAGGGAGAGGAAAGGTGAGGCTGCAGATGTAAGTATGAAGAGGTGGAAGTAGGAGATGGAGGATATATATCCAGTTGAGGCTGGAGATGGAAGAACAAAGAAATGGAGGTTGGAGACGGAGGCCCTAGGGAGACAGAAGGAGAAGTTGGAGAATCTCCAACCCCACTGAACATCTCAGCCCAGAAAACACAAGGAACAGGTACTTTTGCTCCTTTCGAGCTGCCTCTGATTACCTTCAAACTGTTTGGCAGTGTGGTAGTCCAGGGGAAGGTCCCATGTGCATGGCCGTGGTTTGAGGAAGAAAGCCATTGCACCCTCAGAGTCCTCTCTTCCTGACTGGAGTCACAGAACAAGGAAAGAAAATCCAATTATCATCCTTCATTGCTATCTCAGCTTCTGCCCCTTTCTATGTCAAAAAATGTGTTTAAGCACTACATTTAATCAAACTACTTCAAGAAAATAGCATTATTTTTCTTCAACAGTAGCAACATAGCTTGGTTCATTTATGGGAAGACCCTTGGAGATGGGTTAAATCAATTAATTCCCTAATGACTATGAAGCGAACAAGAGCAGCACATTGGGATGAACCCATCTCCATTGTAGATATTATAATACCCCCAAATCCTTGAGCTGGCTGAAGGCTGAATCTATCCATCTTAAATCCGTTTCTGCCTCCACCATTCATCAGTCAAATCTGACAAAGTTATTTGAGTGAGGAAAGTCCCTAAAATTGAGATAAGCCACATTCATCTCTCATATCCAGAGAAATCTTGTGAGAGGGGAAGTTTGTTATTGATCTTGGAGAAAATCTGTATGGGGGAGATAAGAGCTGGCACCAAATGGCTTCAAATTTTTCCTCTGGAAGTCAGTGTGGGATTTTGCATGTAAACAAGGGGTTGCCCATGCTAAAGGGCCCTGGGCATGAGTAATAAAGCCCCAAAATTATTGAATAAACCATGCTGTGAGAGTTGAAAACAAACAGGTTGCTTCTTTTCCCTGTGTTTTCATCTGCAAATCTGCAGATAAGGGGATTAAAGCAGCAGGGTAATGAGTAAAAGTGAGAAAAAGGTGAGAAAATCACCCAACTGGAGATAAAATCAGGAGCCATGCTGTTTCTCACCTAAATTCCCTGGCTGGATTGTTACAGGTAGAAGAGAAGTAAATAATCATCATGACCCTCCATTGCAAAATACCTTTAAATCCAAAACAAAGATCTTGAGACAAAAGCAAGGGTAAATCCCTTCCCTTCTTGAGTTCATGGGATGGGGAGGGGGCTCAAAATCCCCTTTCTCCCCCCTCCCCAGACATCAGGGTGATGTAACCCCCCTATTGGCACTGGGATTTTCCCTCTTACTCAAACCTTCTTGGTATTTTCCTTGCTGTCCTGGTGCTGTATTCACGTTCCTCCAGATGGTTTTCTTCTACTGGCTGCTTCTCCACTGCGTTTTTCTTGGGATTTTTTTCTTCCTCTCTCTGGCACAGCCAAAGCTCAGTCCTGTCTCAGCCACTGCCAGCTTTTATCAGCCAAGAAGGGAGGAGCCCTCCAATCTCGTGCCTGCAGATGGGGCCATGACGTGTTTGGACACCTGCATCATCTGATTGCCCCTTTTCCCCCCATATCAGGGCCATTTATTTTCTCAACACAGGCACTGGGGAGGAAAGGGAGGAAAATTAAAGCACTGCAAAAAAAACCATTATTGCTTGGCACCACAAGGGAAAAATCAGTTAAATTTTGCCTCCCTAGTTTCCCAAACCTGACTCTGGCCCCTTACACATGATGGAGGTGAACAAGGCAAAGTTGGGAGTAGCTTCAAGGTGAGGAATGTGACAGCAGTGCCTGGAAATAAGACAAACTTGTGGATATAAAATTTGTTTAAAGACTACTTGTGGGTGATGACGTTTTCTTTTCCAGCTGGGGCAGCTTGTGAACTGAGCACAGGAACACCCAGGGGCGGTTCACGGGCAGGCAGCTTCACCCCGTGCCATGGCCAACCCCCAGCACTCCTTTCTCCTTGCCAGGAGGGCAGCATGGCCACAAAGAGACCCTGTGCTGACACTGGCCAGAGCTTCATCTCTTGGTGCTGAAGGGACAAAAACCCCTCAGGAGGCAATGAGTGAGACACCACAGGCTGTGGTCATGAAGACTTTTGGAGGACTAGATGAGATCTCTGAGGTGAGATCACCTTCCTGTGACCCATCAGTCCTTCCCCCTCTCTCTCCCCGTGGAAAAAAGGTGCAAAGTGAAAATATTTTAATTTCTTCTTGGGAAAGCAAAGCTCTAGTGCCTGCTCCTAGCTGTGGAAGAAACACAAAATGAGTTGATCCCTTCTTTCCAGGGAAGGCAATGAGGGGACTTTTTTAGGGGGATTATTTGCTTTCCTCCCCTGAATAATGTAAGATTTTGAAGGCAGGATTATAGAAAAAAGCTGATTGTTTACTTGTAGGTTGTTTAGTTGTTTTTGTTGTTTTGGGGTTTTTTGGTTGGTTTTGGTTTGGTGGGTTTTTTTGTTTTGGTTTGGTTTGGTTTTTGTGTGTGTGTGTGTGTGTGTGTGTATTCAGGAGAAAATGCAGTCTCATGTGCAATCCTTAAGGAAGGTGTTGGCAGAGTTTCTGGACTGGAGAGCGAGTGAAGAGAAGACACCAGGACTACCTGATACATGTTCTTCGGCAGTCTGAATGAGCCTTTCGGTATTTATTTTTCCTCAAGCCCCTCTTGAAGAAACGGGTGGGATCATATCCAAGAGGCATCCTGGCACCCTGTAAAGCCCTGCATCCAGTTGGAATGGCTGGTGCAGATCCTGGGCAGGTTTGGCAAGCACCACCTCCATGTGCAGCTGCTTATTATCCACACTTTAGATCAATGTCATGGTGCTGCTCATTTTCATCCCAGACTGAGTCACAAAGGGACATGTGTTAACATGGAATTAACACTCCCCCACTTCTCAGGACCTGGATTGGTTTTGGACAGAATATAGAGAGGAATGGCAAAAAGGGAGGGAAAAGGAGGGTCGTGGGGCTGTGGTGGTTTGACCGAAAAATGGGAATTCTAGAATGCTGTAGTCAAACCAATGGGTGCTCAGATTTTAATATTGGTACCTGATGTGGCCGTTGAGACATTTGGACATGCCTCTGAGAACACAGGGGTTAAAAAGCAGAGCTGGTGCTCCGAGAGGCTCGGGAGGCAAAGAGGTCGGATCTCCCTGCCTTGTTCAGCTGCTGCTGCTGGGCCGGGGAGGGTCAGCCTGCGGTAGGCCTGGGGCTGGACAGAGATGGGGGTGAGGAGGCCCTTGAGGATGGAAGGGTGGGAGAGCACCAAGAGACATCGGGCAGCCACCTCCCCTCACCCCATGGGAGAGAGAGAGGGAGAGCCGGCGTCTGAATTTGATATCAGCCGGCCGAGGAGGAGAAGGGGGGGTGCAGGGAGAAGGTGCCCGGCAGGGCAGCGTGGAAGTTCCAAAGCTCTGGGACAGGCAGAGACTGAAATTTTAACCCTTTTCTTGCATGATTGAAACCTTGCAAATGCTGATCCTCCTGGAGCTGAATGAGAAGAGAGATAAGAGATGAGATAAGAGGGGATGGGCCACTAGGGAAGTGAAGACTGGCTGAGTGGGGGAAGAGATGACGGAGTGGCCTTTTGGCTGGGCTTTTCTTGTGTGGCCATAGACAGAACCATTTTCTTTCCCCTGTGACACAGAGACTGCATTTAGGGGGAGGCAATGGCTCAGAGCCAAGGGAGTGCAGTGATGTTATGTGTAAGAGTGCACAAACAGAGACAATAGGTGAGGAGCGTGGTTGGTGCCCTCGCTCTTCAGTGGAAGAGAAGATCACTGGGGGGAGGAGGAAAATGCTTTTGTAAGGTTTTAATTTTCCTTGTGTGTTTTTTTTCTTTCCTTGTAGTTTAGTTAATAAAGTTTTCTTTATTTCTAAGTAGGAGCCTGCTTTGCTTATTCCTGGTCACATCTCACAGCAGACACCAGGGAGAGGGTATTCTCATAAGGGCACTGGCATTGTGCCAATGTCAAACCATGACAGGGTGAAGTAGGTAATCAGTCGCTAATTAGCTTCATGCCCAGCCCTGCCCCAGTGTTACAGCCCCCCCGGCTACAGCAGAAGCACTTTCGTCCTTTAACTCAAAAGGGGAAAATTCAGGTCTGAGGGTTGCATGCGGATTTCTTGTCTCCTCCAGGAGATGAGTGAAGCTGAGCGGCGCTGCATCGAGGCTGAGTTTGAGCGGCTGCGCTGCTGCTGGCGGAGCGGGAGCGCCCCGTGCTGCGGCGGCTGGCTGAGCTGGATGGACCTCCACAGCTACCCACGCCGAAAAATCATTGCGGGTGGCTGATGGGGTTGCACAGCTCCACAGACTCATCGGGCAGCTGGAGGCCAAATGCTTGCCCCAGATGAGTGCCTTTCTTACCCAAAAGCTGTCCCAAAGTGCTGCCTTTGGGGTCTTGAACTCCCTTTTTTTCTCCCGTTTTCCTTTCAGGATGTTGGGAGGATCCTAAGCGGGTAGGGAGCAACTGGTTGCTTCACATCCTTATCGCTCCAGCTGTGGAGAGGTGCTTGGCTGCTACATCCATCACATAACACCTGCCCCTCTAATTTCTTTCCCTAGCTTGAGTGAAATGAGGCTCCACCTCCCCTCGGGGCTCCCCAAGCAGCTGGAGAAGAGCCTGAGCTCCTGCTGCCACCAAAGCGATGCTCTGTGGGAGGCCCTGGAGAAGTTCAGAGGTATTTGGGTAGAAATCAGATATTTTAGGAGAACTCGGAGGCTTTGGGGAGGAATGCAGAGGTATTTGGGATAATTCGGATATTCAGATATATTCAGATAATTCAGATATTCATCTATATTGGGGGGAGGAATTCAGAGTTCTTTTGGGAGGAATTCAGTTGCATTTTGGGATCATTTAGTTATCTGGGGAGAAGTCAGAGGCATTTCAGGAGGAAGAGGATCTTGTCCAAGGGAAGGGCAACAGCAGGCTCTTCACCTCCTCACTCCCCACCTTCTTCCCTCCTCCCAGACACGGATCCCCCTATGGGTCCCCACAGCAAAGATGATGCTGGAGACTGGCACGATTCCTCTCCTACAGCTTTTGGCAGAGAGAAAAAGGGTGTGGTGGGATGAGAAGGAGGAGCAGGATGAGGCCAGAGAGCCCTCTGCTGGGGTCAGGAGCTGGCTAGTAGCTGGCTAGTAGCTAGTAGGGGTCATTGCCAGGAGATGCAGAACGTGGACACAGTAGATGGACTCTGCAAGATGCCACCTGTACATCCTCATTCTAGGTGCTGCCCATACTCCTAGGGAGACAAATGGTTTTATGAAAATTCCCCTCCAAACTGCGACAATTAGTTACCAATCTTCTGTTGCTGCTCATCATGTAGGTCATGAATTAAAGGTGAAAAACCCCCAACAAACAAAAAACACCCCCCCCCCCATTTTTCTTTTGTGCATGCGCCTGTTCGTGTGCGTGTGTGTGTATGCATAGGCTAGATTTTAAGGTATTTCTTGGTTCCGCTGGGCCAGGAAGAAGGGAGCAGGCGAGTAAGGGGCATACACGGGTCCCGGTTCTCGGGTGCGGGGTGGCAGACCTGTCCCGGGTCCTAAGCTATACAGCCTTGACCGAGGACAGCACGTCCCGCTCCTGCCCACCGCTGGAAGCGGCTGCCGCGGCTCTGGCTGTCGCCTGCCCTCACATGATAAGAGGCCGCTCCCCGCGGGACGGCGCCTGTCCCGTCCCGCCGTGCAGCTCTCAGCGGCCATCCCCCGCTGCGGCTCTTTAATTCTATTTATTTTATTCTGCTCTGTACGTTCCATTCACATCTCGCCCCCCCGCCCTCGGTGCGGCCCCTCTGCCGCCGGCCCGCCCGTACGGTGGTGCAGCTCCCGGGGCCCGGGCAGCGACCAGGGCGGCTCGCAGCGCACCACCCGGGCGGTGCGCCTCTCATAGCGCCGTCTCGCCCTCGGGGCAGCGCTTCTGGTGACTCCGGCACCGGCACGGCTCGGTTCGGCCCCGGTATCGCCGCCTTGCCCGTCCCGCGGCGCAGCTCTTTGGGACGCGGGCAGCGGCCACCCCGAGGGGCAGCTTTTTTCTTTCCCTCGCCTCGCCCGCGCGTAGCCCCTTCACCGCCACCTCACCCCGAGGAGAAAATTCCTGGGAAAATATTTATACCTAGCATATTCCTGGCTTTTTCCCGGCTTTTCTTGCTGCTGCAGAATCTTTATGTAGGCTGAGATCCTCCTTTGAAAAGAACAGTAAGTGCCTGAAACAATTAAGAATTAACTAAGCATTAGGTTGGTGTCTGCTGATAACCAAAGTAATCTTCCGGGTGTTTCTTAGAAGTATAATTAAAAAAAAAAAAAAAAAAAAAAAAAAAAAAAAAAATTTTTTTTTTTTTTTTTTTTTTTTTTTTTTTTTTTTTTTTTTTTTTTTTTTTTTTTTTTTTTTTGCCCCGAGACAGCCATCTTCGGGTTTGTTTGGGCTCGGTTTCGCAGTCCCGCCCCGTCCCGCTCCATACCCGGAGGAGGCAGTGGCGGGACCGCACAGCGCCGCTGGCCGAGATCAAACAATGACAAGGAGTTTTCCAAGCACCCCCACGCCCCCGGCAGAGGCAAATCTGAGGCTATAAACGGCCGTTTTTTGCGACTTACAAATGCCCGGTGCGGTGTTTTTCCTCATAATTTCTCCCCAATTTTTTTTTCCCGTGAAAAAGCCAAAGCTGATCAGTTTTGGGGCAGAGCGGATTTTACAACTGTTTGGGAACATCAGACTGCTTTTATTGTTTTATTCATAACTACAATTCCTGATTAGTATTTTAAACATTATGTGTTTCTTATTATTTTTATAGCTCTATAACAAAATTTGCAATTACTTTTTAACACATATATGTCTTATATTAAAATGAGATATAGTATATTGAAACTCCGTTAACGTTATTATAGTTAAAATACACACAGCGGTGCGGTTTTATTTCACTTTAACCCTCCCGCTCCAAGCTGGTCTCCACATGAGCTCCAAGGAACTCTGCTCACTCGCCACACTCCTGCTTTAATCCTTGTCTCCTGGAGCCCCCTTCTGGCCTCACTCTGCTTCCCTCGGCTCAGCCTGCGGGGTGAGAGTTCGCCTCGTCACTAACTCGTCCCTCCTGGGCCCCAGCTGCCGCTGCCTGCATTCTCTTCTGTCCGTAAACCACGGCTGGCGCTGGCCCGAGGGGCTGTTCCATGCCTGAGGCGGTGGGAATGTCG